CCCACAGAATATAAATAGCCCTCAGGTCAGCTCCCCAGCCATTAAATAAATTCCTCTTCAGCATCCACACCAAAATAATCCCCATCAAACCCTCTCATCATGAAAAACCTGAGACTCTTTCAGAGCATCTTGAAGATTGCCAAATCTGGGCTCTTTTGAACCAAAGAGAAAAGCAAGACCCAGAGCATGAAAATAATCCAACCTGAAGGCAACTAAAACACAGTTAATAATGTTCCAGGTCTGCGTCCACATAAACTGGCTGCTACCTGCTTCTTAACAGGAGACAATAAAAAGTCCTCAACACCAGCTGAAATCCCAACATTCAGGAAAACCTAGGAATACAATATACTTAGTTGCAGCAACTTGGAAACAAAGTATGTATATATTCCGCTCATTTCGGGGTACTGGGATAGCATAATGACTATCATTTCTTCTTCTTCAATATACAATTTAGGGTCAATATCTCAACATCCACCAGAAAGTTCATGTTCATATTAGTATCACAATGTTTATATCCATCCCCTCTCCACACCATTCAATATACACACACAGCTGCATTTATTCAACTGTTTCTGTTCAGTTAATAACAATGTAACAGAAAAGATTTCCAGACTTTTTAAATTTAAAATAAAACCCAGTGAAAAATAAATATGTTTGCTATTTTAGGGCTGTTTATTTTTTTAGTAGATAAATAATTGTTTGCTGTGCTGACATAAGTAACATATAACCCTATGATTTCAAGACAGATATCTAAACATTGCTTCATCTGCTCTCTTGAGAAATCATTACATGCTCCTTCCTATTTAAAAAAATAAAAATAAAGAAAATAAAAATATCTCAACTGCTCCAATCCCCTTTTAGACCAGTTATGCATTGCTGAAATTCCTTGAGGAAGTGCAACTTTCAGAAGTTTGGACAGCTTGTTTCATTTCCCCACGCTGTTTCTTTTTAATATTTTTGCCTAAGGAAAAAACAATTTTTTTCAAGAGACAAACGGCCATGTTCACAGAACATACATTGTCTTTTTAAAACTGACTTTTAAATATTACTAGTAAATCAAACTACTATAAAACAATTATGGGGAAAGAGATAATCACCATCCTATTTTAGTGTCTTGCTTTCTAATGTACCGGGAGAAGGTTCCATGGTTTTTACGAGCAAAATTATTTTACAATCTGTTCCACGTATGGGGCAGCAAGCAGCTGTGTTGCTCCAGAAGCAGACCAGGAAACAGATTGTGAGAGTCACAATCTACCTCCTGGTTTTCCTCTGCTTGGCATAACACACCCTGTGCCACAGCACCTATATCTGGGACAGTGTACATCTCCCACTGCAGCCTTGTTGGTTGGTGAATTGTGGGGAGGGAAGTGGAGCTACTCCTTCTAATTCACACTCCATCCACCCACATGTACAGAGGGGACAGAGTCACCCCACAGAGATTGAGTAGATGGCACAAGGAAGTAAGAAAGCACCTTACACCCCTAAAAAATTCCCCTGAAAGGTGACAGAGGAAAGGCCACAATCTGGCTCTATAAAATGACTTCCCTCAGGCATTATAGAGGAAAATGAGTTTTATTTTTACAGTTGAAACACTTACTAAATTTTTCATGACATCAAAATGTCTTTACCTGAAAGCCTCAGTGTTTCCATGTCCCAGTGGTCAGCACAGAAAGGCCTGCACAGTCTAGGCTTTTAGTTGCTCCTGAGAAGCAGTGCTTTCAATGTGAGTGAAAAGAATGTTCTAACTGATTGGAAGGATCTGACCGTCCTAACCAATATAGAATTGACTTGGAAGGATTAGATTTTTTTTAAATCAGTAATGTTGGTAAACAGCAATTTCACAATACACTTGCAAGCCAATGGAAAATAATATATAATCAAAATTTACAGATAAGCAAAGAAAGAAAAATGTTTCTTGAGAACTTGAAGTCTGCCTTAAGGATGTTTACTTTGTATATTTTGACATGTGATGTTGACGTGTGTTTTAACAGTTATAAAGTTTTAACTTTTTGAATCGCAGTGTCCACAATAATTAATTTATTGTCTGACCTCCCTATTGTCCTATCCCATCCCTATAACTTCCACATCTGTGAACATTTAAATTGATAAAAATTGGAAAAAAGCAAACCCCATAATTCTGCACAACTGTGAAAAATAAAATGGATAACATTGTTTTTGAAATCCTTAAAAATGAAAATTGATATTATCCATGGAAATTATTTTAAAAAAATCAAATTCTGCCAAACCTATGTACAATTATCAAGGTAATATTAATGGGCCTGATCCAATAAGCAGGCAGAACTCCCCTTTTCCCATTACGTATCAACTTACGGCTGAGATGGCTAAAAATTACTATAACAATTCCTGCAGTATTTTGCACTTGCCCCTATTACAAAATCGGGGAGTTTTTGTAAGATCCTATAGAATTTGTACACCCTCCATAAACAATTGTACCAGAGAGACTGCTTTAGTTGTCTTCATTGTATTTTGTGGGAAAAGATATTTTGAGCCTGATTCTCATTTACACCAAAGCCCTTTTACTCCACTCTGGCAACACAAAGGGGCCTTAAAGCCTGGGTGAGATTCTGTGCTGTGCCTCTAGAGTCTGGACATGGACAAGACCACAGCACTAAGAGATGCCAGGAAGCTCTGCCATCCGTGGGGCAGCCTGGGAAGGCTTTAAGCCACCTTTGCAGCCACTGAACTGCTCTGGGGGCTAGAGAGGCTTCCAGTGTAATTTCGATAGTTCAGGGGTGGGTGCGGAGGAAGGCTGTCCATGCTATGGGAGATTCCTTAGCTGCCCAGAATCTCTGCAGCCCTGCACCTGGCATGAACAGGTTTGCAAGGGTATCCTCAGAGTGCAGCCTTACAGCTCTCTTCCACAGGAACTACACCAGGAAAATCCTACCCAGCCAGACATGGGGCTTTTAAAGCCTCTTTATGACACTCCAACTCTTTAACACATAAAGGGGCCAGAGTGAGGGCTGTGGTATAAAGGGCCACTGCTGTAGACGAGGATCAACACTCCCCATTTTTGTTCTTTCACTTTACAGTTTTCTAGCAGGTTCAAATTTTAGTGAAGTTTAAAGAAAAAAATGTTCCAAAGGTTACAAAAATAAAACACCCAGTCTCTGGGTCAGTGCTAGTAGCTTGGGTGGAGCCTCTTCATTCAACACTGCATGCTCCCCACTCCCCCAGTAATCTCATTATGCTGTTTTGCCGTCCCTAAGGATTGAGTAGTGACCACATTTCCCAGTTCTATGTTCCTATAACATGGACTGAATGTGTTGGAAAAGGCAATGAGGATCTCAAATCTTTGCAGACACCTTAATTTTCTCAGCAAATGTCTTTTCTCATTATCTAACATCTCTGCATTGCCCTGTGTGATCTGGTCTAAACTCCACAGCTGGATTTAGAAACTGGAGATGAGTTCAGCACTAAATGTCAAACTATTATGAAAGGTTTCACATTTCAGTAAAACTCTTCAAGTGCTACGTTCTATCAGGATGACGCTAGTCCACGTTTTCTGTAAATTAAGATTCTGCACATAGACCTGTCAAAACCCACTGAGATCAGCATCTCATGCGCAAGGCCAGCCCATTGATGGCTGAAGTTTAATGGTTTTCCTATCTGCTGTGCAGTGCTCTCTCATTTACAGGAACGTTTGTGTAACGAAAAGCCTCAGCTTCAGAGTTTTCCACAGGCATCTGAGCCTGAAATGATAATAAGATCTTTTGCAGCACCTCTTTCTTGTCCACATACCCTCTATACTACTTTCTCTCTATTTTCAATACTCTCGGTATGGAAGAAGACAAGTTGAACACTAAAGACTGTGTATAATTCCATTACTAAAATGACTATTGGAGGCTGCCTGGGGTGAAAGTTTAAAAATTACTAGAACTTCGAGGATGAACTCTCTGGCCCTCCCCCATCTTAGAGATCTCAGAATTAAAAAGGGCCAAGAGTGGAAATGGGCCAAAATCAAAATAGCTATATTTGTAAGTCAGATCTGGAAAGCATTTCCCACCAAAGGATAAGAACTTTAAACAAGGTCAAACAGCAGGCTAAGATAGGTTGCCAATGGGCCTTTAAACTTTCCTTTAGCTTTTAGAAAGTAAATTGACTTTGAGGTGAAGTATGAAAAGTGGCACATTGGACAGCAAATCTAAAACATGGTAAGTACAAGTGGCCAATATTTTCAAAAGTTACTAGTAATTTGGGGTGCCCCACCTGAGATGCTTTAAAGGAGTCTGATGTTTAGAGGGAGGGTGCTCAGCCCTTTGCAAGTGCCTCAAGTTGAGCACCCAAAATTCAAGGCACTGAAAATCACTAGCATTGGAACTATATGTTCCTAAATATACTAGTCCAGTATATTTGGGAACATATAGTCATAAAATAAAGAGTGTGGGGTGGGAGTTTTAATTCAGATTGGGTCTGCTTTTTAGTATGAGATGTGGGTGGGGAAGGACAAGTGCTGCTGCTGCTTTGATTGACTGCATAAACTTTTCTTGATCGTACTTTTAATGTAGGTCAAGGGGGCTCAGGGCTCAGGATGAGTGGTCTTTGGGATGGAACTTTTAAAATCTAAAATTAATTAATTAAATAAATGAAATAAAGCATATTAGAAAAAAAAAAGTGCAACACCGTAGAAACTGGAAACTTCTGTGTGGAAGAAATATCAGACGCTGTGATCACTCCTATCGGGGGCCCTCTGCATACTAGACAGACCCAAGGATCCTCCACTTTTTCTCCATATCCAGTACCCAAAATGGCTCATTTTATCCGAGGAGGACTGCACTGCCTGGAACCACCCTTGGATCTAATCAGTTTTGCTCTTTAACTGTCCAGAGGTCACTATTGGGCAGTGTTATCTAGTGGTTAGAGTAGGAAAGTGGAGTTCCTGGGTTTTATTGCTAGCTCTGCCAATGACTCACAGTACAGCCGCAGGTAAATCACATAACTGCTCAGTGCCTCAGTTTCCCATTCTGGAGAACACTTACCTCTCAGAAGTGTGTGAGGCTTCATTAGTACTTAGATGAAAGATGCTACATAAATGTCATTTAGGAGCTGAAATCAAGGCCTCCAGAGCTGGGGGGAAGAAAAAATCAGGACCAAAATCAAACCCAGGCCACCAGCATTAAAGACAACTGCCCAACCATAACTAAGTAGGTTGTGTAAATGAATCATTTTTTCCTTAAAAACAAATACACCTCTACCCCGATATAACGCTGTCCTCAGGAGCCAAAAAATCTTACCATGTTATAGGTAAAACCGCGTCATATTGAACTTGCTTTGCTCCACTGGAGCGTGCAGCCCTGCCCGCCGGAGGGCTGCTTTACCGTGTTATATCCGAATTCATGTTATATCGGGTCACGTTATATCGGGGTAGAAGTGTACTTAATTTTCATTTTGATTATTAAGGCTTATTTTTCTCTCAACAAGGCTATACAAAAAATGAATGCGTAACACAGCAAATATGAAAATGCTAAAAACTCTTGGGAATGCAGTAAGGTCACTAAATTCACCTTAAACCCTACTACTGTACCTCTTGTGATTAATAGAAAGCACCAAAAGTGTACCAGATGCTGACAGACCAGTGTGCCCCCATCCCAAAGCATTAATAGACATAAATAAGGTATTCCACTTATCTCCTGTATGTTCTTCTTTGGCAGTACTTAATACAAGAGAACCAGACCTCCCTTTCTCAGGGAATCATAAACAAAGGAGCTGCTGTTGTTACTATATTTACCTTGTGTGACAGGGCTACAGGAAAGTGATGGAAGGCAGATATATTAGCCCCAGATTAAGCAGGTCTCTTTTCCCTAGGTAAGGTAACGGGGCGGTTCCAGAACAATCAGGAACTTGCTGGAACCAATTAAGGCAGGCAGGCTAATTAGGACACCTGGAGCCAATTAAGAAGCTGCTAGAATCAATTAAGACAGGCAGGCTAATCAGGGCACCTGGTTTAAAAAGGACCTCACTTCAGGCAGCAAGGGGTGTGCAAGGAGCTGAGAGTGAGAGACTGTGCTGCTGGAAGTCTGAGGAGTACAAACACTATATGGCAACAGGAGGAAGGTCCTGTGGAGAGGATAAAGAAGGTGTTGGAAGGAGGCCATGGGGAAGTAGCCCAGGGAGTTGTAGCTGTCACACAGCTATTACAAGAAACACAGTAGACAGCTGTGATCCACAGGGCCCTGGGCTGGAACCTGGAGTAGAGGGTGGGCCTGGGTTCCCCCATTCCCCTCCCCACTACTGGATATAAGAGGAGTTGGCCTGGACTGTAGGTGCCACCAGAATGGAAGGTCCCTGGCCTGTCCCCTGACCACTAGGTGGATCAGCAGAGACTGCGAGGATTGTTCTCCTTCCTTTTCCCCATGCTGGCCAGTGATGAGGTTAGCTGAGTGAATGGCAGGTTTGAGCCACTAGCAAAAGTGGCCAAACTGAGGGCTGCCGTGAATCTCTGAGGTGAGCAAATCTGCCAATAAGCACAGGACCCAACAAGGCAGAGGAAGAACTTTGTCACACTTGCCTCCTGCTTTTTTCTCTTTACAGAGAAAACTTTTGGGGGGATTTCCTGGTGAGTATATTTTCCCTCCATGCTCTCCTAACTTCTCAAACATTCTCCAGTCTGATTTTGTGGAATTTTTCTTCTCTTTCCCTCTCTGTTCCTTACTACAATCCTGCCAAATAGCAGCAACACACGTGGTTTACACCAGCTACCATATAAGTTCTAGCCTCAAGGATTTTAACAAAAATAAAAACACAAAAGGCAGATTGGGGATTTTATGCCACTTGTCAACTGAATTTTCTCCTCCCAAGATTTTCTTCAGATACCCACATGACCACTACCACTTGCCAACATCTCTCGCCAACATCTCCCCCAGTTATGGTACATGAGACCTGCATGATCATATAGGTCAGTGGTTCTGAAACTATTTTTTTGCGGACCACTTGAAAATTGCTGAGGGTCTCAGCAGATCACTTAATGATCTTTCCAAATGTCGTTTGTACCGTTAGCTAACTATTATAAAGCATTTGGATAAAAGCACTGTATTAAAAAAACCTTAATAATTAATGTTTTTTTGTTCTACAAAAAAGCACACAACTCATATTTTAATATCAGTAGTCTTACCTTTCTAATGTGATGGATGTGCCCTCTCTTTCCCGCTGCAGCAGTCCCTGAGCTGGGACTGGGAAAGAGGGGGTAGGGGTCTCTCCCCCGAGCAGAGCCACAGAGCTGAGGCTGGGAAGGAGGGCCATCTCTCCCTGGCAGCCACAGCCCCAGAGCTGAGGAAAGTCACCTCTTTCTCTGGCCGCTGCAGCCCTCCACATCCCAAATTTTCCCCCACCCCCTCTTCTTACCCCACTGTGCCCTCCCACCTACTCCCTAGTCCCCCCAAGGCCACCACCTCACCTTACATGTACATCTTCTCCAGGGTCCAGGCACCTAATTAGTGGAGCCACACCTGCACGGCACCACTAATTAGGTGGGTGACCCTTCATTTTTGTGTGCGGCCACCAGGCACAAACCTTAGAGGGAACTATCCACAGACCACCTGAATGGAGCTCGCACACTACAGTTTGAGAACCTCTGATCCATGTCATACAGATTGAGAACTGATGACACAGCAAGTGGAATTTCAATTTTTGGGATGCATAGGGTACAGGAAAACAGAGAAATTTCCCTCTTCCCAAACCCAAATGAAAATTGGCAAAAAGCTGTCCCACCAAAACATTCAAATTTTTCAACCTGGCACTAAAATCCTCTGAAAAGCACATTATAAAAACTGCATAGTCTGTGCATATTTTATTTTAGACAACTTCTACTGTTATTAAAACTTTGGGAGCATCAGACAGGGCTTTATGCTGAATGATCAGACCTTAAAAAGCACAGCAGTCTGTAGCTCAATCTCATTTACAGGGGTTTTAGATTGTAAGCAATTCTAGTTATAACAATTCTGATTGTAATTTGATATCTTCTGTGACTGTATTGCTCTGGCGTAAGACATATGTAAACCAGCTCTTTAACTGGTATGCTCTGTAAGAGGCTTAAAAGGATCACTGATCAGATAACATAAGGATTTTTAGAGCAGAATGTGCACGTTCATGATGGCTAAATGGATAAAGGGATTGGTGGCTATTTGTCCCTTATTTACTCCCAGAGCAAGAGAATCCCAGAGTTATAGTGTGCTAGAACTTTGCTGAAACCAGCCATGAAGTAGAGTACTTTCTATGGCACTCCCCGGAAAGAAGTATTTTAATCCTCAAAACACTGCTTTAAACCTCAACTTTATTGTAACAAGAGCAATTTTGCTGCATTCAGTGATCTCTCATCCACTGAAGTGCACACTCCCTTTGAGCTGGGTCTCACAAGTGACTATGACAGGGAGTGTTTTATCTTCAAAAACCAGGGTTTCTCAGCCTGTCAGTTGGGACCCATAACTGGGTCACCAGAATGTTTCAAAGGGTCACGTGGCAGCTCCTGTCTCACAGGACTGGCTGGGTTCACCTTCTGGCTCCATGTACTGCAACCTCTGGGGTCCCTGCACCACACAGGTTTGGCCGAGCCATCATGACGACAGGTAGGCCAAATTTGAATGAGTGGCACTGCAATCCCATGAGCCTGGTCACAACTTCACAGTCACAAATTTGGTCCAGTCAGAGGGGCAGGGCCAAATCTGATCATTACTGCAACCCCAGAGACTGCAACACCCAGAGCCAAGGGCCAAGCCCAGCCAGCCCCACAGCAGAGGAGCTGCAGGAGTCACTACTCTGGGGTAAGTGCCAGGTAGAACCCAACCGAAACCACCCCAGGATCTCCACCCTCAGACTATTTACTGGGTTGCGACAGGCCATAAACACAAATGGGTCCTGGGCCCAAAAAGGTAGAGAACCACTGTTCTAAATCACCAGACTCTCTGTGATAAACATTTCTTTTAAACCTTCCCCTTCCTGTCCTGGCCCTCCTTTGATTGAGCTCTCAGACCTATATAACTATCTCTCTTACTGGCAAATAAATTATAGCCAAAGTCCAATTTCACAATGGAAAACTGAATATTATATATATATATACACACACACACACTCTGACTAAATCACTTTATAATCATTAAATAATGTGAAAATGGTTCTACTCAGAGCTCCTCAATTTTTTTCCTTGATTGATTCCCAGCTAAAACTGTTAAATGCTCAGTTCTGACATTCAGTAAGAAGTATTTCACTCCAAATCAGAATAAATTATATTATGGTAGACTTTCTTCTGTGTCCTCATTTCAGAAAAGCATCCACATTCAGAAAAGCACTTAAGCCATTCCTAAATCCCCTCTATTTCAATAGGATGCTATGTTCAGGAAAGCATATTAAACACATGCTTAAGTGCTTTCTTGAACTGGAACACAAGTAGGGTTGCCAATTTTGGTTGGATGTATTCCTGGAGATTTCATCACATGACATAATCTTTAATTAAAGATTAATCGTTAATTCCTGGAGACTCCAGGCTAATCCTGGAGGCTTGGCAACCCTAGGCATAAGAGACGCACAGTTGCATTTGATGACATGATCTGAACATGAGGCAAATAGAGTGTTCCACAAAGCAACTTTTGTACAGTTCTGTAAATGAAAACTATGCAATTACCACTGTATTGCCAAATCTAAGGAGAGAGCCATTCATTTTAATGCAATGGCAGGCTATCAAGTATGTATCTCTAAAGCAACGCAAATCTTACAATGATAGTGCATCTTTAAATCCCCCCATTTTTTAAGCTGAGACAACATTTAATGACTGCTTCTAGCACAGAACTTAGAACACTAAGCTACTGATCCTTCTCATCAGAAATGTATATTTAGATAAGCAATTTATTTTATCTGTATACCAGTTTCTCATTATTACAGAACATAAGTTCTTCCTCAAAATAACTTGCTATTTTTATATCATCACTCAGCCACATACTTCCACAAAGCTGCAAGTGTTACTTCAGATAAACTTATTGGGTTTTTGGCTAGTTTCCATATTACTTTAGACCAACTTTACTTACAAGAAGATTAATTTAAGGAGGCTTGTTTCCGGTACACCCTCCACCATTACTTGA